CATATCTTAACCATATTTTAGGAGTGAGTATGCTTGAAAAGGTGTTATTTTCGAATCTATTCTTGAAAACGTCAACGACTTTTGGGGAGACTGGTGAACCCATAGCAACACCATTTGTCTGTCTATATAAACTGCCTTTAAATGTAGAAGAATTACTTTCTCTAGACAGGATTTCAAGCTCTTAATTGTTTCACTGGTGTCCAGTGGACATCTTTGTCATAGAGTTGTATCTGATTCTAGAAGACTGGAAATGATATCAAGACTTTCAGTAGTAGGGATACTAGTAAATAATGAGTTAATATCATAGCTTAACATAATGTCTTCTTCATCAATTTCTGGGTGTTCTATTTCGGATTTGAAATAATATGAATTTCTTACAATATTTTGAGTGTTCTTTTGTAGTGGTTGTAGTACCGAGAGTAAGTATTTAGAGAGGACTAAAACTAGCAGCGGTGTTCCGTCACTCTAATGAGCATTAGTGGAGAAGCGGCTGAGTCAGACGAGGGAAAGGCTGAAAACCTCTCTGAATACTTCTGTGACGTCTTCTCGTACCACCCAGGGATATGGCGAGGTCACCGCCATTGCCACTCAGATGCCCTCAACTGTGGTAGAGCACACAAAGGTCCTCAAACTACTGTCTAAACTGAAGCCAGGTAAATCACCTGGATCCGATGGACTTCACCCTAAACTGTTAATTTCCCTGGCGGATATAATATATATACCACTTACGGAGATTTTCCAAATGTCTCTGACCCAGGCTAAGCTACCCAGGGACTGGAAGGATGCCATTATAAGCCCTATCTTCAAAGACAGGAACAGACAATTGGTGTCTAACTACCGGCCGGTAAGTCTAACATGCATTACAGCAAAGGTGTTGGAAACTATTATAAGCGATCAGCTATCAGCTCATGTTGAAAAACATGGCTTGCTGGCGGTGGAACAGCATGGATTCTGACCAGGACGATCCTACTTGACAAACCTACTACTGGCTAAGGAAGACTGGGTTGAGGCCAGAGATAAAAACCTTCTGTTGGACGTAGCTTTTATCGATCTTAGTAAGGCATTCGACAAAGTATCCCGCTTAGGTCTGCTTAGTAAATTTAGAGGTTTCGGACTAGACCAATGCCTATGTGAGTGGTTTAGGGATTACCTAATGGATAGAAGGCAGGAGGTTAGAATTAACGGTGTACTATCAGGGTGGAAAGCAGTATCCAGTGGAGTGCCTCAGGCAACTGTATTAGGCCCTTTGCTATTCCTATTATACGTTAGTGAACTACCGGCGATTCTTACATCATCTTCATTATTATTTGCGGACGACATTAAGATCTGGAAAACTGTAAATAATAGCGAGGATAGGTTGGCCCTACAAACTGATCTAGATAAATTAGCTGAGTGATCGAACCTGGTTCGAACATCATCATCCGAGAGGCTTACGTGTAGTTGAAACAATGCTACTCCTAGCCAGAAAAAGTGAAAGAGACGTCTTCCTAATAACTTCTCTCAATTACGGTGGTTGGGGTTCATTGTTATTGGTCGAAGTTTATTATCACCTCTGTTGTCTTCATATTCACCTGAAGTCATATATTTGCTGCCTTTATTGCCAATTCAGGTAGCATAACCTGCTAACCAGCGGATTATTTAGAACTCTAAGAAAGCACGACAGAGCTGCAAGTTCTCTCCAATCTCTCCCCCCCTCTCCGTAGATAACTGCACTAAAAATATGTCCAGGTGGCAGGCGAGTGGTGATATAGTTGGAGGGACAAAATGACGCAAACTGGTGAAAGCATTCAGGAAGCCAGTCAGCCCAAGTGTCTTCTTTCGATGAAAGCAAGGTGAAGCATTGGGACGTGCAATGTTCGTACAATGTATGAAAGTGGCAAGTCTGCCCAGGATTCCAAAGAAATGAAAAGATCCAGCATAGAAAAACTAGAAATCTGAAAGAGCAGGTGGAATGGATGTAGACTCAAAAGGAAGGCAAGTTACAATCACTCAATGTTATGCGCCTACAAACAACTCAGAACAATAAGACAAGGAAGAGTTCTATAGACAACTACAAACAGTACTCGACAACATGCCAAATGTCGACATGAATGTTAAAATGAGAGTAGACAATATAGAAAACAATTCAAATGAGTCGTGAGGCGAAAGGAATGATAATGGAGATCTCTTCACAGGCTTTCGCGCATTAAGTGACTGGATGTAGCATGTACAAACATATGAATATCTACAAGGCGACATGCATTTTACCTGACGGACACAACAAACGCCAGGCAGACTTCATCGCTAACTGACTGGCTTCAACTTAGAACTTTGCACAGATGTGCAGCGGTTCGAGTCGCCACACTCCATATCCTAACCACTTTACCACCGAGCCATATCACCAATTGCCTCCAACCATTGGTGTTTACCGTCCCGAGGAACCCAACCAGCAAGTCTACAACTTCCTATGTGACTTAAACTCACTGTTGTGGATTTCACTGACTGATGAGGTCAGCTCTCTCTTCCAACCTGATCCTATGTCAGCTAGCTATCATTGCCCACTGTCGAGGAAGGCGATAGATGATGGCTAGGTATGTGTAACACATGTCCTAACCATCTCAATCGGTGTAACTTCACAACCCTCGTCCATTGATTTCCCCTCCTTACCTAACACTCCACAGAAGCCTAACTTCAAAATTGCTGACCCTATTATGCCACTTAACACAGGAGATAGAACGCAGATACAAATGATCAAAGACAGTTAGTCAGCCTCTTCCTGTCTTCCACTCTCAATGGCCATGTCTCGCTCACAGCCATAAAGGAGGACAGAGTGACCTGTAGGAGTTCATTGCAGTCTCACGAAGGTGAAGATGCAATCTGCTAGATACAGAAACCGAAAGCGGAGCAATTGTGGGTTCGGTCCATTAACTAGTGCATGGAAACTTCTACGTCAAGCTGAAGGCCTTCGAAGCACCAGGAAACAAATCCCAATTCATATTCAACAGTCAGAAACTGAAGGACAAAACTAAAAAGAATACCTTCCTTGCATGTATCGTAGCGATGTCCGAGACATTACTTTGCATCATTGAAGAGACCTACATGGAAGAACAATGAAACTCTCTGGAAGTGATGTCTATCAAGCAACCAGGTCCCTACCCGGGAAGAGTTCAACACAGATGGAACCAATAAACTACCGTCAAGGGAACCTAATTACCAAAGAAGACAGACTAAAGAAACAATGGGCTGATCACTTCAAAGGATTCTTGAATCGACTATCAACTTCCACCCATCCAGAAATACATCACAACAGCACGCACAGAACTACCAGTGGACACCAATCCTGCAAAAAAGTAGAAGTCCTGGAAGTTATCAGGCTACTGAAGGCCAAGAAGACAGCAGGACTGGACGGAATTCCATCAGAAGCCCAGAAAACGGATCGAGAAGAGCAGCGGATGTGTAGACAAGACTACTGCAAAAGTTCAAATGGAACGAAATGCAATTGAGGATGGGAAGAAGGGCTACGCTGTCAAACTATCAAAGAAGAAAGACTTTAGTCTCTGCAAGAACTGACCAGGAATCAAACTCTTGTCTACACCAAATAAGATACCAAGTAGCATCATTCTATCGAGAAATATATACGCTGGGGATGCAGAACTCCAACCCGAACAACCTGGATTCATGGAAAACAAATCATGTGCTGATCAAATTGCAACTCTACGCGCCATCACCATAATCAAAAAAAGCATAGAACGACAGTCGATACTCTACTTCAACTTCATCCACTCTGAAACGACCTTCGACAGCGTTGACCACGAAGTAATTTGGAAACTGCTCCAGCACTAAGAAGTGCCTCAAGACTTTATCAAGCTCATTCAACAGAAATATAACAATGTTAAAGGCCAAGTTATCCACAAGGGAAAACTCGGCGGAGCCTTTGAAGTGAAGACAGTAGTAAGACAAGGTTGCCCACTATCGCCCATGACATTCCTGTCTGTGGTGGACTGGATCATACAACAGACTATGGGGAGTGAGAAGTCAGCAATGCGTTGGGCCGATAAGAAGACTCTAGGAGATTTGGAATTCGTGGATGATTTACGTCTGGTGTCACACAAACTCGAAGATCTACAGGCGAAAACCAACAAGTTGGCAGAAGAAGCAGCAAGTATAGCACTTCAAGTAAACGTAAAGGAGACGGAGGTGATGAAGATAACCAAGCAACAACAACGACGGACACCAATCACTGTTGACAGAATAAATCTGAACGAGGTCACTTCCTTCACTTACCCGGGCATCACGGATGAAGATGTTTATACGAGATAGTAAAGGTACACCTTCATCACTCTGAAATCAATCTGCACGAAGCAAAACGAACCAGATTCGGATTTCCGACACCAATACCGAGTCAGTTTCTCTATGTGGTTCAGAAACTCCAAGCGTTTGGAAAACCAATTCGAACAGGCTGCAGGCTGTTATCAATAGCTGTCTTTGCTGACTTGATGCTGGCCAGTCGGAAAGGACTAGCAACAAGGAACCAATAAAGAACCTGTCACTCAAGCAAAATTCCGAAGGAAATAGAGACGGATCGGATACACATTGAGGATACCACAGTGACATCGGGTGTAAGGGCTTGGAGTGGAGCCCCAATACAACACGACCACTCGGGCTTCCGAGGGTGACATGGAAGATATCACGCGAGGATAAGATGAGAGAATATGGGCGATCGCGGGGCTAGCCAAAGAGCACCGTTGAGAGGAGGACAAAGTGGAAATGTGCTGTTGAAGCCCTACGTATCACTTTCAGACCAAAGGAATAATAATTATTACTATTCTTATAATTAGCCACTTCTTGGTCTTAAAGTGCACTCACAAAATCGAAAAATATTCTTTGTAAAATATAATTAATAATTTCAAATCGTTATAATTCAGTGAGACTGACGGAAACTCTTAAAGCTAATAAAATAACAAATACAAATAGAATGAATTCCGGGCATCTGATGAAAATATATGTGAAAAAGGTACAATTTAAATTCTGTCGTCTTCGAAGATGGCATCTGATAGCTTAACTAACCAACACTTTGATGCAGGGTCGTCCTTTTCATCTTCGCATTTCGGCCACCAGGTATTGCACTTAGAGCGAACTTCTAGAGTGAGAAACAAGACAACAGAGCAATGTCACTAAGCGTACCTTTGTAGAATGAATTTGAAAAAGTCGAACAATCACTTCATATTTCAACAGGTAAACAATTTTAAAATATCTGCTTACCTTTAGAGCATAAAAACGCAATAGCATCGTTAGTTGATCGAAGCTTTCCCAACTCGCCACTAGGAAACAGTTCAGCTAACCCTGTCGAAGAAGGATTGTCCTCATTTTCCAATTCAGAAACATCCTGACTGCTTGTTAGTCTCACTGATGATCTCGAACCTTTCACCACAAAATTATGAGAAAACAAAATATTGTGATATGGATAATCAGAAATAGGCACGACAGAAATGAGGCTATAAACTGAACGGAATGGTTTTGTAAGATATAATGCGCAAATAGAGAAAATTTCACACAGAACTTAGTATAAACCCACATAGTTCGTAGTCGCCGCACCCAAAGTGAAATTAATATGAGGGAGATACGTAAAACGAGTGGGTGTAGGAAAATGCAAAACAACATAATAAAGGCAACAGAACCACAGCACGAGAATTAAATACCATGTAAACGACCCATTCTGTGTTGCATTACTAAACATTTCCGACTGTATCGTCGTTTGCAACTGAAAAGACCACATCTCTCTCACATAGATCACATCAATGCAAGACTTCTACCAAGTATCGGTTTGATAATAGTTAACATCACTTAGCTAATGCAGAAAGTCACAATAGACAGTAGTTAAGTTATTCCTAGTGACCAGTTAGAGAATTCCTGACTTCAGCTCTACTTTGCCAATTTCTCAAATAAGTACATTATATGTGAACGAAATGTGTGGACTTCAGAAATGTTCCGTCTGTGAGAGTTACCTCATAAAGATGGATACAGGAAGGCGAGGCCGATGCTGTTCATCACAAATATTCAGATACTCTATCATCACCATAATTAATGTTCGTTGAATAAAAGCCATCCATCTTTTCATGTAAGCAGTGAGTCATACAAAAATTCGAAAAAAGCATTGTTAACAAAGTAGTACAACTTGGAATTACACCCAAAATAGAAGGAGGGGATGGAAAAGTTTTCTCTGTGTACATAAGTCAAGGTTTTCTATTCGGATCGCTAAGGTCTAGGCAACGGAAAATATACGCAAGTTTGCTGTCTTCGGGAGGCTTTCTTTGACCTTGTAGATAACTTTGAATGAATTCTGCTTACATACTGAGTGACCAGTATTGAATATATGTTGAATTATAGCACTCCTTATTGATCCACTGTTACCTTTTCGCAGCCGAGCGGGATAATGTTGTTTGACTTTTTTAGACAAAACACGCATCGAACTACCTATATATCTCGCTCCACATGAGCAAGTAAATTGGTAGATACACATAGAAGTGGTCAGATGCGATAGTTTATCTTTGGAGTTGTTGAAGAACAACAGGCAGCATGGAATACCGATCAGAATGCAGAAGCAGAGAATGTTCTTTTCAGGGAGTTGGATATTCTTTTCTTTAGGATGTTGGCTGAAATGTCACCACATTCACCTATGGCATCTTCTTCAGAATAGATATGGGGTGTTCTCCATTGGTTTTTGGGTCTTATCTGTTTATCTTTGAAGGGATAACCATTCTCATGTAGTATCTTCCGCAACAGACTGATCTCTCCTTCTATTGATTCAGGGCTACAGATTCTTCGGATTCTAGTCTCCAGAAATATTATCAGGTTCCGTTTGCGACTGGTGGCTACCCAACTATAAAATTTTGTCAACTGGCCGTTCCACGTAGGCTTTCGATATATTGATCTCTTTAAAGTCCCATCAGTCTTCTTGGTTAGTCGGACGTCCAAAAATGTAATTGTGTCTCCGGTTTGATGGCTGGTTGGCAGCTAGTAAAACTTGAAGGACATTATTCAGGTCACATTTGTTATCACAGATGATGAAAGTGTCATCGACGTACCTTCTGTGCAAGAAGTCGATTTCAGCGGACCATTTTCCAAACTTGCCATGAAAATATCTGCAAGTAACACGCCTAAAGGTGAACCCATAGCCACACCATCTTACTGTTCATAAATAGTACCATTGAATGTGAACTGAACGTTCAAAATGCATCTAAGTAGTTCTTTTAACTTGAGTGTAGGTATCGCGATATTCAAGTCGCTGTCTTCCAGGTACTTGCAAAAGAAACAAATCGTTTCCGTAATCGGGACATTTGTGAAGAGAGATTTGACATCGAGTGATATCATGTGGTTGTCGCCCACATTCAAATCCTTGATATAGAGTTGACGAATTCAAACCTGCCACGAAGACAGTATTTTGAAATTTGTTCTCTAATAGGCTTTAGGAGTTCTACCAGACATTTTGCAATTGGATGATGTGGAGATCCAGACGTCTTCAAAATACGGCTCAACGGAAGTCCCTGTCTGTACGTTTTCAGTAATCCACATAGTCAGGGTATTATCGAACCGGTTGATCGAATGCTCTCGTAGACCTTTCCAGAGATAAGTTGATCATTTTTCATAGCTTTTTCAATGTTTCAGTGAGTTGCATTTCTATTTTGTCTTTCTCTTTTTCAGGTGCAGTGAACTAGTTGTTGTCTGAAAGAATTGCTAACGTTTTATCAATATAGTCTTTTCCATCCATTAGGACTATGCCACTAACTTTATCAGGACGTGTGATCAGCAACTACTTGTGATAACTCAGTTGGTTGAGCTGTCTTCTGTAGTCAGCATATTATTGCACTTAGACTTAGCATAGAGGTACTTACGGTATAAGTCTGGAATTGTTGACTTATAACGTCTGTACTCCTCTTCAGTGATTGGGAAAAGGACACTAATCTGATTGACCAAATGACTGTCCAGCCTCCACTTAAAGCTTTCCACGGGAGATGCAGTAGTCATATCTGCTGGTAGAGAGTTCCAGAGGCGACAAACTTGAAAAGAAATAGGAGCGCACTTGACTCCTCACCTTCTGGTGTGCTATCCTTCGTGGATTGCAACGAGAAAGCTCATACTTACTTAATGGCAGAATACCTTTGTTTGAGTGATTCTGGTCATTTGTCATCTTGTAGGTACTAATTAGGTCTTCCTTAAGTCAATGGTAGCTAAGTTTGAAACACTTAATTTCTTCTGCCTATCCTCGCCCGTCTTTTGACTCTTTCCAAAACATTGGACGTGCCTTCCGCGGAAGAAACCTACTCTGTGTATTATCTGCTTGGGAAACCTTATCTTTCTAGCCAGTAAACCTAGTTAAACCATTACTTGTACAATGAATTTCTGTGTGATATGTCCGGTGGTCGCAAAAGTTTCAGGTGACGCTTCTGTAGTAGTATCTATCCCAGTCGACCAGACAAGCAGGACTTTTTGGTTTGCTACATAACTGCTGTCAACCTGAAGGTTCTAGGTGAAGTCAGAAACCCCTCTCTCATAATTTCTCAGTCTTTTTGTTCTTGTTCTATTGGGTAGACACCCTATTTCCACCTGTTTTATTGTCACCTAACCAGAATTAATAATAACTAGTAATATGACAGTTCAATCTAGCCTTAAGAAGAGCGTTACTGCACCATATTCTGTAGTGATCAGGGCTGCAGCTAGGGGAGGATATAAACCGGAGGGATCAATCCCATGTTGCATACTGGTTCTTGAGCCCCGAGCACATTTCTCCCGATCTGGTAATAGGCCAACGTCGTAACACCCCAGTAGTGAACCTGCACAGGTTGAACCAAGTGGACATGGCACTACACCCATCTCCACAGGAAACCAACGTTCCACACATAATAGGACTGAAAATAAACGCTTGAGACATCATAAGATCCCGAAGGCATCTTCTGAGAGAGGAGGGAACTGTCAAATCTGTAGTCTATGCGTAGAGTATAACGGCATACCAACTTACCACATTACCTGTATTATTCATGCTACACCTGAAGTTACGCAGGGAGTAACTTCCATTTGGCATATTACAGATGTGTAGCTGCACCACTTTGTGCTTTTCAAGTTGAAATTCCCTAGTCTCCTAGAGTTTTCAGGTCTGTCCATAGCCAATCAGTGTGTTCCGTGCACCTTATTGCTCTGCAGATATTTACGTCATCAGATTATAAATGCGGGCAGTTTAAACGGCATGGAAAGTCTTTGATAAATATCGAAATATCAGTGCCTCTAGGACAGAAACCTGTGATACTCTCGGCAGTGAACTATGCAGGGAAGCACGATTGACCTTGGTGAATTGAATTATCTTTCGTCTACGCAACCTTCCAGTCATAAGGGTATTGGGCCACTAATAACAGTTTGACTCATTTTGCGTAGGCATAGGTCATACCAGACTGTGTCAAATGCCCTTACAAAGTCAAGGAAATTGATATGGACTGGTGCATTTATATCCCAGTATGATGTCCAGTCATCCCCAATCTCATACTAGATTTGTCACACAAGATCAACCTCTGCTGAAATTCAGAGAATGATATGCCTGTTCACTGGGCATTTACACATTCGTTTCCAGGAGAACCGAATACACCTGTCATGACTCGATGCGACGCTTTACAAGGTTTCGTTACATAGGGAAGAACTTACACTCTGTGTCCTACGAGTACGTGCTCGCACTATTATTAATTTTTCCACATTTGAAGTTATACCATTGACTGGTACCTGGTCCTCCGAGATCTCCAATTTTGGCTATAGCACACCTAAATCTTCTGAAAACTTTGCTCCTCTCAAATTTTGTTTTTCGTCAACGTAAAGTAGCCCGGTCAGTTTAGGCTTCAAGTTAGGCCACTGATGAAAATTCAAAGTATCAGAAGCCCCAGGGTGGAGGCTTATGATACTCTCGATGCCCAACCATGCCAGGATGACCGGATGGCATTTAGTTAGGTGGAGGACCTCATTTTGTCCAGGCAATCTGCTAGCCATGGTGGTAGTGGACTAGCAGTAATCACCTGATTTATTTTGACCAGGAGAATGTCAAGCTAAAGTGTGTCATATTCCTTCGAAATGCGGAGAGTAACCACACGGAGTAGAGCACTAATATCCTGGCATGATTCCCAACCATTCCGATGTGATAACATATTTGTCACATAGGATCTACCCCTCCTAGACCACGTGATACATGAAGTATGTTAGTTTAATTCAGAGTTTCCTCTTTGTAAATTGACAGTGCGGTCTGTATGGCCTATATTGGTAATTCCAACAGTGTTATTTAGTTGTTTGTCAAGGGCGGAACTGAATACCTCAGCCACCTCCAAACTAGTGAGACATTGGCCGCTTGGACCTCCTAAGGCTCAGGCTCCTTTGTTGGTATGTATTTT